CTCTTTCAAAGCATTCAAAAGCCAGGCCAACTACTTCATGAGCTACAATTCAATCAGTCATGAATGATTGGGGAACAAAGTCTGTTACTCGATAGCATATTGCTGCAATTTTCACGCTCTAATCTGGTAGAGAATCCATCCTCTAATTTTTACATCCTAGCAGTTCTGCCAGTATCCTGATGTAAGAAGCTTTAATTCGTTTCTTTACGCAGGTATTTAATAATAACATCTCGAAAAAACAAGTGACTTTATGCACGCAGGATAAAACACCAAACATGATCTGAAGAAAAGTACCTCAGTACCGCCACCAGTATTCAGCCGACCAACTTCACCACCACTTGCAGTGACACGTTCCCTCCTAAGAAAGGTCACACTAATTGATTACCTCTATGCAACAAGATATCACAACCAAATCAACAGAAGGGATACAGATGGCTTACTCTTCTTCGTTAATTTCGAGCCGATGATCTGCGGACAAATAGTAGACACCACCCTCTGCAGGCTCAAGTATGCAACGAGAGTCTCCAACAGATGCAACAGTTACCACCCATCCGTCTATAATGACAAACGTCACGGTTGTTCCGGAAGTTCTAGCTGAAACACCACAACAAACAAACTAAACGTCAAAATATAGCCTTCTCAAATGGCATACAATTGAACAGCTGCCGACAATCCCAAGACTTGTCACCCAATCAGGTCTTTCCTCAAGAGCCCATATTTTGGTTCCCTAAATAGTGAAATGATTATTTAAAGAGATTCACCATACCTTTTTCCTGGAAATCTTTATCTGTTTTCACAAATCCGGCAACCAAAGCCCTAGGAAGGGCCGCAACCCACTCATCCCTGTTAAGATCAGAGGGTATTGCAGCTAACACATTGGTTAGGAGATTCTCCTTAGTGTAGATGGCAGCTCCAGTTCCATTGTGTCCATCAAAAATCTGAAAAATGCAATTTGAAGGTTAAATATCAATAACAAGATTTAAAAAAAAATTAAACAGATACAAAAGGCTCACCAATTCAATTCAATCATTTGAAAGGAAAATCAAAAGGCACACCAGTCCAGTCATAAAAAATAACTATCCAAGAGCAATGGAGTGCGTAAAAACTATTTATGCATATAGCATAAACGATATGCAGGAATGTTTTGGTACCACTCAGTGACCAAAAATCAGATCTGCCCATTCACTTAGAAAGGGATACACTTTTAGAGCTTAGATGAAATGCACAAAAACGTCAAAAGAATAATCCTTGCTGTTATAAAACCGCAGAATCACAGCCGGTAGAGCTGTGTAATTAATGATTTGAGTGAAGAACTTCGAGAAGAAAGAGTACCAAGAACGAAGAAAGAAAGGAGACCGAATACATACCCCAAAAACCGAGAAGGTAGTAACGCCATCTCCCATGGCCCTTTGGCACTCCGTTTTTAAGAGTGTGAAATCCTCTCCTTTCTTGCTCTGGTTCGCCTGTCCGTATACAATTTCGGGATTCTCTATTTTTTCATTCGCAGATTCCCGTTTGAGCAACACGGAAAGGGGAACTGTGTGATGTTCTCCTCTTGTTGACATTGTTCTTGTGAGCCGAAAATTCCAGATGTAAAGGAGACTTTCCTCTAACTCTCCATAAAACCACCCTTTAAACAAATACCTGAAACAAAATTCGAAACCCAATTCCACAATCACAACAGTTCGATTCCAAAAATCTATGATGATATAAATTAACAGATACTATAATACTTGGTTGACAAGTAACTGTTTTACCGAATTGATTTATCTAACATCGTCTTCTGACGTTACTATAAATTAGGATCTACATTTCGAGATCGTCGATCTTAGAAGGTAGAAGTAACAAGAAACTCTGGAACGATCTCGCAGAGAACAATCAATCAGATCTCCAAAGATAGAAACAAATCAAGTATCTGAAATCTAGAGCACCGAAAACATAAGAATCAGACAGAAATCGTCAAAGTCACAGAATCATCGCCGTTCGCGGACGAATCCAGTTAAAAGTAAAAAACAAAATCACACGAGAAATGCCGCAAACAAGCATAAACCAAACGATTCCGAATAAGAAAAGCTGAGAAATCATCAAACAATTTTCAGGCATCTGAAATCTCAGAATGACGAAACAACGAAGAGATACGACGACAAAGTACGATCAAAAGGATGAGAAGTAGAAGAAAGCGATTACGATTCGGATGACCGACGAAGCAATGCCGGAGACGGCGATTGGAGATTACGCGAACAGAGATTCAGATGTGTCCTCCGATCGAAAATCTCGGATCCCGGCGCTCTGTGAAAATTCCATTGTCGCACACAGCCGGAGAGAGAGAGAGAGATTCCAAAAAAAAACGCGCAAACGAAGGAGGGGTGTTTTCGCTTTCTCTCTCCTGCCTTGTTTTCGTTTCCAATTAATTTTGTTTTTTAATTTAATTTTTATTAAAACCCTCGGCCGTTTGACTCATGCACCATTTTTTTATTCGACGCAGATTGGAACGTCGTCGTTTCATCTCCACATGCTCAAGGACGTGGCCAAATATTTCCTTCATTAAACTATACTTTGTTTTACCAATAAAAAAAAATACGTCAACTATAAGCTTAATGTAATAAATATATCTACCGTATTAAAATTTGAATACAATATTGAACATTTCAACCTGTAACCGATAAATATATGAACATCTTCTTTATCAAAAAAACAAATATGAACATAGTTTTTTAAAAAATTTTAAAAAAAATATAATAAAAAAATATGACGTGATGATATTCATCTTATTATCACCTAACCCAAACCCGAATTCGAATTTTAAATTAGGAAAGAAGATCGTTTACATAAATTACCTTAGTATTACCTAATCTATGCAAAATAATTTCAACTCCACATGTTCGAGGTTCCAAAGCGACATATTAGTCGTAATGGCAAACATTGTGGCATCAAAAGTCATGCATATCAATAAAGTGATAAAGAATAATACGCCGGGAGAGATATTGTTATATCCGAGTCATTTGATTATACGTAGATTGTACATTTTAAAATTACAATTAAGATGATTTTTAATTATACGAAGACTAGTTTGTATAACTAAATACAATTAAATAAAAAATTCACTATAAAAATAAAGTGATTTTGGTGTTTATGCATAGATTTGCTCATAACCTTTTGGTCCAATGTCGGATTTGCGTGACCTTGGTGTCTGCACATAGATATTGAAAAGAGCTTCCAATGATGTAGAGCACGCATGATTCGGACTTGCAGAGTGAAAGTTAGTGAACTTACAAGATTTGACGTTTTTAGACTTAATGTTTTCTTCGAAACAACTTCAAAATGTTTCCGTTTCATTCCTAATATTTCGTAATCCATAATTTTTATTCTTTTTGTTTTCTTTTATGAAAGAATGTTTGTTTTAACACCAAAGAAAACAACCAAACAATATCAAGATCAAATGTGTTCTAGATTGCTTATGAATATACAAAAACGAGTAAAATGCACTAGATATCTTATACCAAAATATTACTAAAAACATGTTATCAGTAGGTTAGGGATTGAAAGAATTATGTAGGAATCTTTCTTGAAATTATGGCTTTATAATTTGGATTGAATGAATGAAGTTTAATGTTATAAATTGTGCTGGCCACATAATTTGTTGATACTAGAGTTTAAAATTGCATAGAGATGTGAAATTTGAATTCGGAAATCATTTGGTTAAGTGATTTTCGAATCGAGAAATGGTTACATCACTTAGAGATCATGATAGAGAACTTAACGATCTTAGGAATTTTAGTTTATTTGGAACCGAGAGATCAGTAAATTAAACTCCTAAAAAAATGAGGTGAAACCCGAGAGGGTAATCCTCTGTAAAACCGAATTTGAATTCCCCAACCCGTGATCATAATTACCGAGATACATCATCAGAATTGATCCTTGCATAACCTATAAAATCCTGACACCTACAATGTTTTTTGTGAATTGTGTTTAACCTTCGTTTTGTATTTGCTTTAATTCACATTATGTTTAGCGACTATCAACATAACCCAAATTATCACTTCGGTTGAAACCGAGTAGAACCTCTAATTATTGTCGTTAATGTCTGTGTCCTTGTGTTCGACCCTAATTAATAATGCGATTGATTCGTGTACTTGCAGTAGTTGAAGTTGGAAAGAGACAGGATGCTCAAACAATGGCTTAGGACACAAGGACCAACACCTTGGACGCATGCATCCAAGTCATGGAAGATGACTTTCCATAAGTATCATTCTCGGTGCATGGATGTGAGCATGGATATGCATGCATACTTCATTGCATTTTTTTCCCATAATGGAATTGATGACTTGGCAAGATTTAAAGATGAAATGAAGACTTGTAGAGGACCGTTGAAGATGGAGGAAGAAGGTCACAATCCAAGTCATGATCAAATTACAATTAAATATACAATATGACTGAGAAATTGCCTTATATAGTTGCCCCAAGCATATATGAAATATCTTATTTCTTTAGACGTAGATTATATAACCGTTATGTAGATACTTTCCATGTACTTTAGCTCGGGTATCAACCCTTATAACAGGAGTGGACATTCGGTTCGGGTATTTCGGTTATTAACCGAACCGATCGATATATACTCAAACCGAACCGAATAAAATTATATAACCGTTTGGTTATGATTTTTTAAAACCCGAAATAACCGAATCCGAACTGAACCGAACCGATTAAAAATTATTAACCGTTTGATTATAAATTTTTATAAACCGAATTAACCGAACCCGAACCGAACCAAACCGTTTATATATCTTCATTTATATATATTTATATACATATATGAATGTTTATATTCTTGATTTAATAATTGTTTTATTATATTTTAAACGTATTTTATCATTGTTATGATTGTTTTTAAAGTTTGTGTGATATAAACATTAGAAAAAAAGGTCTTTATTTATTTAATAGTTTTCTATCAAAATATAAATTTAGATATTATTATTTTACATGTTAAAATAATTATGATAATATTTTATATTATATTTTATTTGAATATTTTTAATTATAAATGAATTGATTTTTTAAATGTTATAACCGAACTGAAACCGAACCGAACCGAATCTTTATTTGGTTATAGTTTTAAATAGACAAAACCGAGCTGAACCGAACCGAACCGAACTGAATAAAATTAATTAACCGTTTGGTTATGAGTTTTAATAACCCAAAATAATCGAACCCGAAATAACCGTAACCGACCATTCGCCCACCCCTTATAACCATATACACACTTATGAAAATGTATGAATAAGAAATACAAGTGATCTTTTTCATATTTTTTAATCACTTTTCTTCTATCTTGGTTCTCTCATTGATTATGAGCTTCGACCACTTTTTGAGTGTATAACCAAACTCATTCTCATTGTATTCATCAATTCGAATCATCCATTTATATATATTTCACATGGTATCAGAGCGTAAAGGTTCATGAACCCCTCTGTTCCAAATCTCTTTTAACTTTGCTGCACAAAACTCTCAGTCACATACAAACCGAAGAGATTTCGAGTTTTTTTATCCCATAACATCCCCAAAAAGTCACATGAGATGTACTTGGGATGATCTTAAAGGCCTTGAAGATGAAGAAAAAATCATTATTCATACATCGAACATGCTAATAGTGTTGTAGAACAATGTTGGTGTACCAAAAAGAGGTTGACACATGTAAACCTCTCCATAGAAGAAGTTCAAGCCATGTATGTGGATGACGAACAATATTTGGAAGAACAAAATGAGAGGGAATGGGATGTAGAAGACATCCTAAATTAACTCCCTATGCAAATCAAAGAGGTATTGGTGCAAACGACCAATACACACAAATTTGAGTCAAGTGTTTCTCTTTTTGAGGATTTGTTAAACACTAACGAGTTTTTTGAAATGATGCAAAAAGTACAGGTTGAAAGCAAAGAAAATTTGTCTCTAGATGTCCAAGAGATTCATCCCATCGTACAAAATATTGAAGAGGCGGAGACAATCTATGGAAAACTACAAACGAGGCACAAAAACTATGAGAAGGAGCGAGACTTGGATACAACAAACTCGGAAAAAGAAGAAGGAAAAGAGGAGGATGTGATGTTGAATGACCCCATAATGGAGGCTATGAACTCGAAGAAGAGACATCACATGCATTCGACATCATTCCTCATCCGAGTATAACAAAGAGTTCAAGCATCTTCTTTACATGGAGAGAAAACCGGGTTTGTAGTTTCGGCGCTTTTTCCGTATCTTTTGATTTTTGTGTTCCAAGTGATATGTTTGGTTTTGCTAGTGTGTTTGAACAGACAATAAACAAAATAATCCTGAATATCTATGGTGGAGAAAAGTTCACGAGTAAGGGGATGACATGATCAATCTTATACTTCACTACCAAAAAGGTCACAATGCAAGTATCCGAAAACAAATTGAAGATGACATTACCTTGAGTTTCTACAACTCTAGGTTTGTTAAAATCACTTATGAAACTTTTGTTTTTTATTCCGGAGAAAATATTCAGGCATTACATAATAAAAAACAAAGCATACTAGTTAGTAATACTATTTATGCATATAGCATAAACGATATGTTTTATTCTTTCAATGAAAACTTGAGGTTTCATGTCTCAAGATCATCAAATTTGGAATTCATAACATTATTTTTGCTTTTGTTTGACGAAAAACATTATTTTTTACATGTCCTTTTGGTTTGTCCATCAAAAGGACATGTAAAATGATGGACAAACCAAAAGAGCCATCGTGGGATATGGTTGCATGCTTAAGGGGGAACCGATGCACTGATGGATATATATGTTCGCCAAGATCAACTTTTCGATATTCCTCCAAGCCAATCTTGAAGAGAATGTTGGAGAGAGACAAAGGATGCTCGAAAAATGGCTTGGGACACACAGATCAACACCTTGGACGCATGCATGTAAGTCATGCAAGATGACTTTCCATACGTATATTCTCGATGCATGGATGTGATCATGTGATATGCATGCATACTTCATTGCATTTCTTCCCATAATGGAATTGATGACGTGGCAAGATTTAAAGGTGAAATGAAGACTTGTAGAGGACCATTGAAGATGGAGGAAGAATCTGGTCAAAATCCAAGTTGTAATACCCCGAATTTCAGTAAAGGTATTAGATAAATATAAATCGAAATCAATTACATTTGATCGATATAAATTATTGATTGAGTGTATAATCCCTTAAACTCCGTTAATAGGATTGGAAACGAATAAAGAGTGAGGAAACAAATCACATCATGAAGTCTTGGAGAAGATATACAAAAAAAATTGTATTGGTCCGCCGGATCAAGTTTTAGTCTGGGCCTGACCAACCATGCTGACTAAAATTTTGGTCCGAATATATTTGGTCT